TGGAAATTGAAAATCCGAGTTAAAATTCCGGTCAGGGTTGTTGTATTCACTTATGAGCAAATACTATTGGGAAAGGTATGAATCCTCATCCCCGCTATGGATTAATTAGTAGGACTTGTACTAGTAAATCATTATTATCTTCCAAAAAATTCTTGATCTAAAAATATTTTCAGGCTGCAAAAAAAAAAAAAAAATAACTAAAAAACAAATCGATCAATTGATTATATCAGTTTTTCCATGAGTTCCATCTTTATAGGGTGTAAGTGAGGAACAAAGTCATTTACAGTTTTGTTATGAGATTAACTTTATAAATGTTATCATATTGGACAGGTGTATTTTTTGAGTAAAAGTTCATGTGTAAGATACCCAGTGTGTTAATCTATGTTGAGATACCTGTTAAAGTGAGTAGCATCTCTAACCTGGAACATTGAATTTATTGTGTGTATTTTGACAGTTTACAAAGCAACTTTATTTTTCATATTACACAGCATCATCTCTCATACAGGTATTATGGATAGGAGACTTTCACAGAAGACTCAAATTGTCCATTTAGGTCTAGAGGTATGGTAGTAGACAATTAAAAGGATACCCTTGTGAAAAAATATCTTGTAGGCTGGTAAAAATTGAATATGGCAGGGAATAAAAGATTGTATAAATTACATGTAGTTTTTACAAAAACATTAAACACAAAAATATTTAATATCAGGTCAAATTTACTTAGACTAGTAATATTGTTATTTTGAATGTTAGCATTTCTTTAGGAGTTTGTCATAGTTGGAAGAAGACCTTGGGTTCAAGGGCTGAAATATTGTGGGGAAACTAGTCTGAGTAAATCAATGGAAAATAACGATAATTACTCATGTAAAGAAATTAAAACACCAATTATTAGGTTAAGTAATTCTGAGCAATAATGTTGTGAGTTTGATAGTCTACAGAAAAACTTAGATATTAATATTTAACATATAATATGTAATAATATTTGCTTATGCAAAAATAATATCTATTTTTAGATGATTAAATATTAAGTCATTGGAACATAATTTTTAAACTTAAAACAAATATTAAGGAAATAATAATAATATTGAGTATAATATTCATAGATAAGTAGATATACTATTTTATGAAACAAAATAAATTGTTTGAATTTTGTTAGACAAGGAATTGTAGTTAATGTATGTGACTGGTTGTGATTTTGCTATATACTCTCACACATTTCTTAGATGTTTCTTCTGGAAGGTTCTATAACATTTCAGAACATAATAGACACCTGAAAAGGTCAGTTTAAAGATGGCCAAAATATTATGTAAATGCCAAGCAACTGAGATGATGGAATCAGTTTGAATTAACCACATGCAAAAATCAAATTCAATTACAATGCAATCTTAGGCTTATAGAAATATTTTCCAAATAGTAATAATAATAATACTGACATCTATTAGTCACATCTAATAAGAGTTCTTGTCTTTATTATGAGATGTAAAAATCAAATTCACAATCAATCCATTGTGTATCACTCAGTCAATTGCCACATGTAATACACTCTTGGGCGATCATGTATTTTTCGATACATGACTGACGAGGCAGAAGATTTTTTCCTGCAGTAGGTTGCCAGTTCTTTTTGTGATAGACTGGTTGCCAACCAAGGCTAAAGGAGCCAGTCTGTCCTGCTATTTAACTCATAGCTGGGGGGTGGAGGGGAGAAGAGATGGATTCATACATTTTCCCCAAGGGAATTTGGCCATAAATGTATGTAATGAACTCAATAATGTAATAAAAGGAATTCTACATCATGTGGTATTTGAAGAAAAATAAATTTTACTTGGCTCGCATGTAATGTAAAATCACAAAAACAGCCTCATATCCACATATATGGAAGGTCTGTTGAAAAAGTATTGAGACTGTTGCTATGGTAATGGAGTTAAAGGATGCAGACTGAAAACATTTGAACAAGAATGATTGACTGCCATAGGCTTCAGTTTGAAATTTCCAGATCAACAATCACCAGCAATTGAAACGTGATAACAACAACAGCAAAGATGAGAACATTAGTGTGAATGTAAATAATAATTATTGCAACATTTAAAGAGTTAATGAAGACTGTGAAGCGAATAAGTCACAAGAGTTTATAAGAAATGTAATGATATAAGCAAGAATATATTTGACTTTTTTTTTTTTCTTGCAATTATCTAAATTGATAGAACATTTATTACATATATTTGACTCTGCAATTTCTAAAGAAGTAATAAATTTTACACTCTTCGTGGCCGAGTTGGTTCAAAGAATGTTGAATCTAACAATTGTTTCTCCTTCAAAGTGGGATGTAGGTTCAAATCCTACCAGAGAGCCAATTTTTTTTTTAATAACATTTTTTTCAATATTTTAGGCCAATAGATGAGAATAAATATACTGTTTAAAAAAAATAAATGGACTGTCTACTCAAATATAGATATTCACTAACAATAATGTTTAAAGTGATGAAAATACTTGACTCTAAATGACTCATATAGTCATTATTGCAATCTGGAAATTATATTTTGAATTTTGTAAGAAAGATTCAGATTTAGTTATTTTAGGCTTGAATACATATTGATATGAGAAAACAGAAATATCTCAGAGTTTTAGCTTCAGTTTCAAAAAGTTTTGATATTTGAACAAAAGCTTTGCCCCCAACACATTTGTTCCATATTATTAAATGGGGCTCTTCAAATTTATTCTCATCCTGGGTAAGACAATAAACTATTTCCAACACCAAGGCCTTGGATCAATTCTTAATTGCTGGTGTTTCCAGGTTCACCCTGATCCAGGGTGGTAGCACCTATTAGGGTTCCAACTATGGGCAAATAGTTAACCCCCAAACTGGGGCGAAAACACCATGGAAGTGTAAAAATAGGTTTTAATACCAGCAATAAGTTTTTTGAGGAAAAATTATTACCAGCTATACATTTTTGAAAAAAAAAAAATATTACCAGTAATACATTTTTGGAGAAAACAAATATCAGCAATAAAAATTTTGTTGACATTAAATAACCCATTGAGGTGTTGATATGCTGTAAAACAAACCAATCAAATTTATTCATTTCAAATTTAAATGAATGTTAATACTTTTTAGAAATCAACAGATATTGTTACTGTATTTTTATTACACAATATAAATTAAATCTAAGATATGAACTACCATGGGCTGAAGTAATGGTTATATTTATTACTGAATTTAATGTGATTAAATTGTTATTTTCAAAGAGAAAATCTGTATTGAAGATCTTGGCTGGAAAACCTCCAACTTTTTTCATATTATCACAAATTATCTTTGCTTGTGAAGTTAGATGAATTTTCATTTTTATCCTGAACAATCAAATTATTTTAAAAGCACAAAACATTCTTCAGTCATTCACTTGTATATCATGTCAAAAGCAGAATGTAAGAGTCATTAGAAATACCATTCAAAATTGTTGTCAGATTTTAAATGATGAAATCATCTGGAGACTTTCTATAACCATTTACATCTTTTGTACTTTGATGGTTTTACTTCTGTTAAAATTGTTAAAATTTCTTAAATATTATTTAAATATACTATTTTTTTCTATCTACAAATAAAATGATGTTGTATGAAGCCATTTTCATCAGTATTTATAAAAAAACTAATACACGTTTTCCCTTTTAAAAACAACAAAAAGCAATTCTCTTATTTTCTTTCAATCTTTTCAGCAGACAAGAAAATAATAAAGCATTGATTTTTGTCTTCTCTCCCCAAATATTGTTTCTGCAAATAATCCTCAGCTTCCTCTTTTATTTTGTTCTTTGCAAAAATATTTTCAAATGCTTCTTTTTCTTTCGTTGCTTCTGTTAACCATCCTTTACAATGAAGTACAATTATTGTATAGAACTCAGACAAATACTATTCTTATATTGTGTCGTGGGCTTTCTTAGTTTTAACTCTTCTTCTCTTAATACAATCGATTAAAAATGTCTGCTGCTAGTCAAATTCTGTAATAGAAAGTAGAATTAATGCACATCAGATATTTATACACCAACATTTTTTGCAGGAAAAATAATTATTCTTAGTATTTTTTTCTTTTTAATAACAGGTGTAAAAGAATATTGTTATATTTATATTAAGATAAATTTTCTCGAATTTTCATATAAAGGAAAATCTACAATTATATGCCTTTCTATTTGTTTTTTTACAATGTTTCCAAGATCTTTTGGCCAAGGTACATTTTTTAGTGTATTAAAGTGTTGATTTCCTGGCAGTTGCGAGTTCAATACTTGAGTTGGGTAGTGTAGAAAAGTTATTGAGTGGAAGAAACTGACAAGAATTATAAAGGTGAATAAACTCAAGAGAAATGACTGATGTGCCCTAAGCAGGGATTGAATGAAGAGTTTGGTTTAGAATTCCAAGACGGTTACTGAATAAAACAGACAGCTGCAGTTGCTCAAATAGTGCATAAGTTGAAATAATGAAGATGAGCATTCTTGTCTGAATAGTAAGACGTATAATAAATGGTAATTTCTCATCTAAAAAAAATTCTAGTATAAATTAAGAAAATTAAAGCAATAAAAATGGACATGGTTAAAAGGACAACAATATACAGAATGAGGTAACTAGCTCAGCACTCATCAGAACTCGATTAAAAAAAAAAAAAAAAAAAAAAAAATTTACCAACCTCAATATATTATTGATATATGTATATTTTCTTCATATTTCCTTTTAGTTTGCATACACAAAAAAATTTTACTTTCCTTCATTGAGTTCTTATGAGTGCGGAGCAATAACCGGTTAGCTTATTCAGTATATTTTTGTTTTTCTCTTTCTTTTTTCTTTCTCTTTTCTTTTTCTCTCTCTTTTTTACTCTTATCTTTTTTCTCTCTTTTCCGCCTTTTAACTCTTTTCTTTTTTTCTGCCTCCCTTTTTTACTCTTTTCTCTCTCTTTTCTGCCTCTCTTTTTTCTTTTCTCTCTCTTTTCTGCCTATGTTTTTTCTTTTCTCTCTCTTTTCTGCCTATGTTTTTTCTTTTCTCTCTCTTTTCTGCCTATGTTTTTTCTTTTCTCTCTCTTTTCTGCCTCTCTTTTTTACTCTTTTTTTTTCCTCTCTCTTTTCTGCTCTTTTCTTTCTCTCTCTCTTTTCTGCCTCTCTTTTTTACTCTTTTCTTTTTCTCTCTCTTTTCTGCTTCTCTTTTTTACTCTTTTCTTTTTCTCTCTCTTTTCTGCTTCTCTTTTATACTCTTTTTTTTTTCTCGCTCTCTTTTCCGCCTTTTTTCTCTCTTCTTTTTTCTCTCGCTCTCTTTTCTGCCTTTTTTTTTCTCTTTTTCCTCTCTCTTTTCTGCCTCTCTTTTAAACTTTTCTTTTTTCCTGCCTCTCTTTTTTACTCTTTTCTTTTTCTCTCTCTTTCCTTTTATTTCCACTTTCTTGCTCCTAATTTTGCATTTGCTGATGGCTGTAGTTGTTGTTTTATCTTTTTCATCCTCTTTCTATCCATTTTTATTTCTTTAATTAAATTTTGTACCTCATGAGATTTTTAAATTCAGAAAGAGTTAGTTTGGTCCTATGCCTGTTCAAAAGGCATGAACTCACCTTTACTATCTCCAGACTTTTAACTAGAGCCGTGTTATACACTACACTGGTAGGTTTATTACCTGTTGAAGTAATAGCTTATGTCTGTTTGATTATGAAGACAGGCATGAACCCAAGCTTTTCTTACTTCACTGCAAGTTGATTTTAACCATATTAATCATATGCTTTGATTACCTAGCAGCAATATTTCAAAACATATTCAAGCTTCATTCCCCAAAGAGGAATGATATCTTTCTCAGAAAAAAAAATGATGTATGCTTTATTCTATTGTGAAAACTCAGAAGACAACAATGTAATGATAACAACAAAAAAAAGTTACTTCATGTTTTTAAGCATTGTGATAAAAATGAACAATATGAAAGGAAAATAATGTTATTAATTTTTAAACTTTTTATATTTCATTTTCTATTCAGTCTGTTTATTTATATCAATGAAGGAAAAGTTAAAAAACCAAAAAACAAACTCCTGTTCAGAAGACTAGGAAAGAGTATGAACTGGGCGATAGGTGAACCTACACTTCTGATGTTTTTTGAACTTACATCTTCTATACTTAAGCAGTTATTAGTACCTTTTTATTTAGGCAACCAAAGAAAACAAGCAACTTTTATTATTTCATTTTTACTTCATATTGTAATGCATAAGGAAAATGTGCTTATTTTATCTGAATTAAAAAAAAAAAAAATTAGAAAATTTTAGAAAAAAAGTGTAAAGCTGAAAAAATCATTTTCTTGTTACCTTGAAATCATCCTCATCATTAGCAGGAAAGTAATTTGGTCAGTCTTGTAGATAACATTTCAGACATTGAAAAATTTATTTGCTTTAATTTTGGTATGTTGTCTTTCATGCTAGATGACATGTAGTAAAATTTTTAATCTAAAATTTATAAAAATAAAAACAAATGACAGTGATGTCAGTAGGAAAATCCTACTGTTTAGGTAAGGTTCGTTTATCCCTTCACTATGGAAATCTTTGTATCCTGGAAATTATGGCTATCATTTTATCTTTCAAAAAATTTAATTGCCATGTTAACATGATGTATGTTTGCTTAAAATTCTACTAGAAATGTACCCTTCAAGTATGATGTGCTGGTGTTAAATTCATTAAACACCATAAGTGAAACCTTGATCACTGCCAGAAGGTGACTTTTAATGAGCAAACTTGAACTCAGTTTTCTATGGGTGCATCACTTTTATGACTTTAGGCCAGCCTAAGTTAAATCTAATAAAGATATAACAGTGAACTTAAAATCCTATCAACACTATGACTGTTTTCATTGTCTGATCAGCTTATAGAGTTAATTTGTCATTAGATGAGAAAAAGTAATTATTATTTAAGACCTTAAACAAAACAACAAAAAGCTTAAACTGTCATTACAAAAAAGATATTTAAAATATATTAAAATGTCATTACAACATCCAAAATCTGTTGAGCCAACAAATTAAATATAATTAAGAGAGATTTTTTTTTTTTTTTTTGATTGGTATCGATCAATAAATGTTGAATCACACTAATCTGTTCATCTGGGGACCAAACAGGAGTGCAGGAGAAGAGGCTTTGTTTAACTTTTTTCTTTTCTTTGTGGAGGGGGACTATTGTAGCACTTTGCGACTCCATCCATGTGACCTAGGGCAGACGTTGTATATCTTCATGACCTTGACCTTTTCTTCATTGCATTGCCACACACCCTTCAGTTTAAGTCCATTCAGTTTCATGATAACCCTAATGACTTTTTAGTTGTTTCAGTGTTACAGACTTGGTCTGAATACGCTTTGTGAACTTTTTTTATACTTTTATATTTCATAGCAGATCTCTCTTTTTTTTCTTGAGATCTTTAGTACTTTGCAGGACCAGTTTACACTCCTTTCCATATAATTTGGTGATTTCTCATCAAATCTGGAGCAGAGAGGATGAAGCTGAGGAGAAAATGCTGGCCCCTGCCATTGTGGCCAAGGCACTTGGAAGGGTTATATATTTAGTTACATTTCCATTTATTTTTGTCTGCCAACTGGACCTTCCAGCTACCTTGGCATTCATAATCTTTGCTACTTCCGGCTTACCACAGACCCTTACTTTCGGCTACACATTGGTCCCTACTTCCAGCATCTTTTTCTCAACCTAACTCACTTGGTTGAACGGTGTTAATGGACCTGCTTACAACAGCCCTGAACTTCTGGCTACACCATGGTCCCTACTTCTGGCTTTCCTATCAACCTGGTTTAGGTAATTGTTGTATGCATATTGTCCAGACTCAAACAACCCATTCCGTACGCATCGGTTAAAATACTACAAAAGGTTCATCATTGGATTAACCAGCAACTTTTCAGCACTTTCATTGGACATGTGAACTTAACTTTCAAACTGTGGATTTACATGGACTTTACTTTTAGCATTTAGTCACAGTTGTATTATCTAGATCTACTAGCTGGATCTGATTCCTTCATTTACTTACTTCTGACTTTATATCAGAAGGTTGCGTGTTCAGATCACATCAGGGGGTCTGCTACAGAACCAGTTAAGATTAGGGTAAAAAATGAAAGGACAAAATAATGACTGTTCTGTCATAGTGATACCAATACAAGTTATATGGGAATAAATCTGGGCACCTTGACATGGTGTAATGGTTAGAAAGTTTGTCTTGCTTGATCAATTACAACTGAATAGTGAGTTTGATACTCACTGGGTGCCCCATACTTTTGGCCTTGTGCCACATCTAAACCACGCTTAGATTTATGCCCATATAGTGATTCTCTAACTTAAATTAAAAGTGGGAAGTATAATCACTAAAATTTTTTGGTTTTTGATTGATTTTAAAAATTTAAATGTTTGTTTTTTTTTCTTGTTTTTTTTTCCTAAAAATGTTCTTAATGCAAATTATGATTCATAAATATATTTAATTCTATAGAGGAGATATGAATAATTTTTTTTTCTTTCATCTTTCTTTACTAATGGGATAAACTTTTTGATTATTATAATAAACTTTTATGCAAGTTTGGATTCTTTTTCCTTACTTATCGATTTTGCACCCAAACTTTTTTCTTCATACCCGCCCGATTGAATGGTTCAGAATGTTGATGAGTTCAAACTATTCAGCTAATGAATCCTGGATTAACAAATTTCTATCTGGTGGTGTTAGTATATTAATGATGATTACAACTGCCTATTGCATAAAATTGAAATCCAAAATTACCTTATTTGAATAGCTATTTCAGCCTGCAAAACTTACTTATAGGCCTTGTCAACTGAGAGGTGTGAAGAAATAATTTAGGAGCTTAAAATTTAAGCATTTAAAAAATAAAAGAAGAGAGAAAAGAGGAAAAAGAAAGAGAAAGAAGAATAAAAAGGAAGTTGCAGATGAGATTCTAGACATAAATTTAAATAAACAACCAATATCATGGTAGGAGAAGTGGGAGTGTCTGGTTCAAGAAGACAGTTAAAATAACCTTGACCTATATTTTAAAATATTAACATTTCAACTTAGGTTGAAACAGAATCACAAATTAAAGACACAGGTTCAAAATATTTGTAAAATTAAAATAGAAAATAATAAATATCAGTTATAAATCAAAGAACAAAAAATATACTTTCTCCTTTTTTAAAAGAAAAAAACTCCCAAATCTATGCTCGCAAAATATAGGAAAAAAAAACATTTATAGATATTTTATATAAGGAAAATTACTTAAAAGTATTTTAAAAATTTGAGAAGATATAAATAGCCTATCAGTAAGCATTTGCATTAATTCCTGACCACAGACAATTCCCTATCCTCTTCTCTATTCAATGTTTTATGCATCCAGATTAAATGGTGAGACTTGCTAAAACAAATTGTAGGTTAAAAAAAATGCAACAATTTGTGGTTTAATCATCCAAAATTCATCTGGGTTAGTGATTTTCATCTGTTCACATAGATTGTTTTGATTTGATAATCTATTCTATAAAATACAATGTGACTTTATATATTTAGCTGTGATTAATCTCATTACCTCCCTTTGCTAATGAGATATTTCATTGTTATAGTAAAAGGAAGCATTACCATATATACTTGCATATAATGCAACCTTTGAAGACCTAATTTTGAAGCTAATTTGACTACGGTAAATGGATATATAATTTGGTCAGCCGCATAGCCAGGGCCGCCAGTACATATGCTAATTTTATATATTACGTATAATTGAGACCCCCTTAAAATTAGTTTGTAAATTAGGTTTTCAAAAGTTGCATGATATGTGAGTATCTACAGTAAGTGAATGTGAAGACAAGCTTTAGAAGACATTGCTTTTTATTTCTTTTGTATTTCTTTTCCTTGGATATTTTTACTTTTAATAATTTCAAAAGTAAATTTCTTGCTTAAATACAACAATAGTAAATTTATTTACACTATTTTACATGCAGACTATTGTGTTCAACTTTGTTGCGATAACAACAAAGATGAGGACAATAGTCAATGTGAATAGTGTAAATAATGATAATTCCTCATCGCAGAAATTCAAACAGAAATTAGTCAATTTATTTGCATTTTATATGTTTGAGGTTAGTTTCTGAAGTTTTCTATCAGAATTTAGATAAAAATTTTATTCTATTCGCTATTCAGTATAACGGAATATCTGATGGAAATTTTATCACCTACTTATGATATATGATTTTACTATTTGCTGTATCACTTTTTATGAGGGAGCTACTGAAATGTTGTCTGACCCCAAAATTAATATGGTTCTTGGTCATATTTTAAGAAGTTGGTTGTGCTGATAAATTTTCAACACTTCTTTTATGTAATCATTAAATTAAATGAAAGGATTTATGAAATATATATAAAATCTGTGATATAATCTTTTATATAAACAGTTTGATTGGAAATCCTGTTAAAATGATGTTTTCCTTGTTAAACATTTAATAAAGGATTGTTAAATATTTTTTCGTTAATAAAAAGTTAATGATATCCATTGTGTTTATTTCTTAAATTCAAGAAGCATTATGTTTGGAGTATAGCAAGCTTTGCCCTGAGGATATTGATTTTCTTCTATCCATTTTGAACTGATGACTGCCATTAAAAAAACAACAACAGCAACAAAAAAAAAGCACAATTCTGAGTTTTTTCTTTTAGTGTGACAGACAAAAAAATCTGTCTAGACTTTTTTTTTTTTTCTTTCAGACAGCAGTCTCCTCCTCAAAGTTTAGTGAAACCCGTATCTCTCAAGTGTTTTTTGTTAGTTGCAGAAAAGCCTATTGAGCCTCATCTTCATGTTGGGTGAATTGTTTGCAAGATAAATTGTTTGTCTGAATAAAGATGAGCAAGCAATAAGACATTCAAGTGTGAGAAGAAGCAGTAGATCTTCTTGTAGTTTTTCATTTTGTAATCATTGAATGTTTGGAATAATTGCATTATGGCTAACAATAATGTATATCAGTACTATATCCACACACCTTGGGAGTGTGGAAAAACTCCCCCTAAATATTCTGATGTTTGGTTATACTTAAAAAATATTAGATATAAAATATCTGCCTTATCTCAGCCTCTTCATATGCATTTATCTATATCTATATTCACTATAATTGAGAGAATAGAAAAGTTCAGAGCAGATAACATTAGAAAGATTTTAGAGTCCCATGAAAATAAGTGGATACAACGTCTAAAAACAAAATACCCAGCCGGGCTAAATCATAAATTTAACAATATATAACTCAACAAATCAAAACCTACCCACATTTCTCACCCACACAAGACAGAGGAATGGAGGCCTCACACTTATACACTCACCCACACTATTATACACACGTACACACACCATACTCACTCACTCCCTAATGAGCCAAATGATAACACACACCTACAGCAATACACACGCTTACACATATCATACTCACTCACTCCCTAAGAACCAAATAACACACACACAAACACTAAACAGAGACACATCCCCTCACCAGGTCCAATAAAACTGTCAAACTGACCAGAGAATTCAGGATAAAATGTATCTATCCAGTTCTTATCTCAAATAACAACTTAAAAGAGACTGTTTGACCAACACAAGGAATGTTAAAAGATTCATGTGAAAAAGATAAAAAAATAAAAAAACAAATGAAAACTACAGACAAAAGTTCATTTTCTCCAACAAAAGACATTAATTTCTGTAGTTCACTGCTAACAGCAAGCAGAAATATTTCTCCTCCCGATGATGGCCATTTCGGTTGAAACTAGTCGAGGAATCTAAATGGAATAATAATAATAAAAAAACGAAAGAATCTACAACCCAGTGTGTCTAATGATTTTAGTTTTTTATTTTCTTATTGTTCAAAATATATATGTGTGTGTGTGTGTGTGTGTAAGATAGAAAGAACAATAACAGTAGACTTGTGAAGTTTATTTTCCTGAAAAATAATTTTAAGAAAAAGATCTTAGAGATTTATATATCCACACATGTTGAGAGTCTGGAAAATCTCCCCCTAAATATTTTGATGTTTGGTTGTATTTAAAAAAATATTAGATATAAAATATCCATCTTATCTCTATATGTGTGTGTAAGATACAAAGAACAATAATAGTAGATTTGTGAATTTTTTTTTTTTCCTGAAATTAGTTATAAGAAAAAGATCTTAGAGATTTCAACCAACAGCCGTAATAAATGTTCAGTCAGATAATGTTCAATTATTTGTACTATTAGTATTTTACTAAATGCATAGATACTAAACACTAATCAAAAGAATATTCCAAACAGGACCAAAAGTGTCTATCCATCTACTTTCATTTTTTGTGGTTATTATACTGGTTGTATCACTAACAACATATTTTAATACTTAGTGTAAAAAAAATAAAATAACAAAATCTTCACATTTATCCAACATTGATAAGGTTAAGTTTTCTTTTCCTCCTCCTCTCTTGTTGAATTCTCTGCCTCTGGGCAGAGAGGAACCCAGACAAGGCTATGCCAAAGGGCAGAATTTTGTTTGGGAAGGTTGACAAACCCAACCCTGTGTATATGGGGTCTATGTAAAATTTTTACCCAAGCCTACAGGCTTGGAACACTCCATGTTAAAAACTGGCCTTGTGCCACATCTTGCCTTGCAGGGAGGTTGGTAAATAGTGAGGTTTATAGCAGTTATTTTTGTTTCTCTCTTTTGAAGAAGATTATGTTATGGTTAAAGAATTTTTTTTACCACATTTTACCTAATTATCAAGAATGGGCATCATTAGTAGATGTTCACCTGTAACATATTGTTGTGAAGAAAATGGCGATTTACCTCGTCAAACCAAGTGACAGTGTGTCGTCTATCCTACGATGGAAAATGTGGTGAAAAGAAAGTTACTTAGCGAGAAAAAGGGCACATATTCTGCATGATATGCTGAAGATGGAATATCCAAAGTTAAAAGTAGAAACAAATCAGTGAGAGGAGCCACCATAAAAGTATCTGAGATATGCTAATATTATGTGTCCTCTCCCAGTTGTCTACAAAGGAAAAAACAAATGCCTCGTTGATAAAAGCAGTTGGTGTTCTCGAATTGGGAAAATACTGCATTTATTGGCAAGTGTGTTATTTTTCTGACATGCATTTGGGATTTGTGACATTTGACCTGCGAATCAAGATTTTAACATTTCTTTCTGACCCTGATATTTGAGTTTGAACTTGCGATTTGTTTTCTTTTGTTGTGGCAGTAATCTGTGACATCAATTTCTGAACTGGAATTTTCAAGCATGATGAAACTGACTACACATATGCAAACTCCCTTTATTATTATTATTGCTGACTTAAGACTTTTGTAGAGTGATTAGCATTATTTAATTGAAATTGGCAAAACTGCCCAACAAACAGAATTGACGAAAGTTTGCAATAAACAATAACAAGAAAAAGAGAGTTGTGCAGTGGAAGCATGCTGTGATCATAACCTGGAGGTGCATAGATTGTAACGACACTCTACCAATGCTGATCTAATCTGATATAATGTCACCAGGCAAATAGATTTATAGCTATTTACCAGAGTGCCTACAATTCAATTGGATGTGCCTCCCTTCACACTTTCTCTTTTGGGGAAGCCTCAGTTACTGAGCAATAAATCTGGCCTCCTCTTGACAGGTACTTTCTGGAGGGGAAGGCCCCCTGGGGCTTGGGATTATATTAATATAAATCCCAGCCAAAGGCAAATGGATTTATAAACATTTACCAGTGCTCCCACCATGCAACAGATGTGACATAAGGTCAGTTTAAGGTGGGTTTCTCGGCAGTACTGTGGCAAAATTCCCAATTCCCCTTGGCACTTCCCCTTTTGAGGACACCTCAAGCACTGGGCAATAAACTCAGACCCCTCAAGAGGGCGAGGTACAGCTTGGGTGGGGAATGGATTTAGTTATTTTCCAGCACACCCACTCCATAACCAGATGTGACACAAGGTCAGTTTAAGGTGGGTTTATCAGCAGTACCATGCAAAAATTCCCAAACATCCTCGGCACTTTCCCATTTGCTGAAGCTTTAGGTACTGCGCAATAAACTCAGCCCCCTCTCGAGGGAGAAGTAAAAGCTGGAGAGATGGCCTCCTGGGGCGTGGGTTAAAATATAAACAGACAAAAGGCAAATGGATTCATAGCTTAGATGTAGTGGCAAATGTATTTATGTACCCCAGTGGAAAAACCATGTTTATATGGAAAGAACTCAATAGGCAAAACCCATTTCACCTGCAGGTGGAACAGGTCAATTTTATCAAAGCACAAGTTTACATTAGCTGAAGGCTATCAGTTCAATATTTGTGCTGGGTAGTAAATGTACATTTGAGCTATTTAACAACTTAACAAAGAACAGGGCAAAAATAATACTAAGAAAACAATAAATATGCAAGACAAAACTTAGCAAAGCAAAAGTAATAAGGCAAAAAGTTCACAAACTCAGAATGTTAAGAACAGAAATATGGGGGATGAGACTGAGAAGTTCCTATCTTATTGGCTCGTAAGAAATCCCAGCATGCATCTGTGTGTTTTGTCTATAAATTTGGAGTGTTTTGCAGTCATTCCAATCAAGATTGGAAGCAATGACTTTTATTCACATCCTTTATAGAATTTCAATATTATAATGATCATTGTGGTTACAATACTGGACCAATGATTTTGATGTGTTAAGTGCTATTCTTACCTTTCATTACCGGTTTTCTGAATAACATTGTTTAAAATTTACTATTATTAAAACCACAAAACTCATTAAGGCATCTATAAAATGAATTTTACTTTTCTCTTTTCAGGTCACCTTATCCCAAGGTGTACTGCCATATAACATGGCTAGTAGCAGTCCAGTTGTACGGCAGATCCATCGTGAGTTTTTGAGCTGCGGTATCTGCCTGGACCGTTACCAGAATCCAAAGGTCCTCCCGTGTTTGCACACATTTTGTGAGCGTTGCCTCATCAGTTACATTCCCCCAGAGAGTCTCTCCTTGACGTGTCCGATTTGCCGGCAACAGTCCATCCTCCCAGTAGAAGGAGTCTCAGCACTGCAAACCAACTTCTTCATAACGAACCTCATGGATGTTTTGGGACAAACCAATGTATGCACTGCCTGTGTGGACAATACAAAGGCTATGTGCAAATGCACCAACTGCGATAATTTCTTGTGTGAGCGCTGCTCTGAGAGCAGCTGTGATGGAGGTCAGTCATCTGCTGACCCGACCAATGACAACGCTTCTAGCGGTGAGACCCCAACCAGTGTCCACAATATCATCCGCCTCAGTGAGCTGGCCTTGACTGAGGACAAAGAGAACCGACTGGTATGTCCCAGTCATGAAGGCAAATCTTTACAGTTTTATTGTTGCGCTTGTGAAACAGCTGCATGTGAGGAATGCACAGCTGTTCACGTGGGCCACAAGACCGTTCCCTTGCAGGATGCAATTAAAGAGCACAAGGCAGGACTTCAAAGACTTATCTCTGGTGCAAGAGCACAGATTCCTGGGATTCAAAAATCAGTCAAAGAAGTCATTGAAGTTTCTGAAAGGTTGAGTTTAAAGTCCAAAGAAGCTGAAGAACACATTGTGAATGCATTTGACATTCTGGATAAGTTGATGTTACAGCAGAAGACTTCGCTACTGACAGAGCTGGCTGAAACCCATAAAGCCAAAGAGGAGGTGCTAAGCAAACAAAGGGAAACACTGGAAAACACACTTTCTCGAATTTCCAATTGCTGCGAAGTCACGGAGGACGCCCTTGAACACGGCAAGGAGACTGCCATTCTTGTTGTCAAAAAAGAGGTTACAGAAAAACTACAAGAACTTGGTTCAATGAATATTAACTATCAACCAGAGGAGAATGAATTTCTTGAATTTGATAATTCCTGTTTCCAGTCATTAAAAAAGTCAATTGTCAACCTGGGACACATTATTACAAACAGTGCTGTTGGGTTTGAAACCACAGCTACAGGAGATGGCCTGAAGTATTCCTATATTGGCAAGTACTCTACTGTGTCTGTCACCACAAAGGATCGTAAAGGTGAGCTTGTTAAACTTGGACATGCTACAGTTGAAGCCGAGTTGCTCAACCTTAACAAGGACATTATTATTGAGCCACATATTACTGACCATAAGAATGGTACCTATGACATAACCTATTCTATCCCCAAAGAGGGTACATATGAGCTATTCATTAAAGTTTTTGGGCAACCCATCAAGGGATCACCATTTAAAGTAAAGGCATTGCCTGCCGGTGAGGAGGGAGATTTGCTAGGAGCTTCGACTCGAATTCCAAAAACAAGTGCAGTTAAGCAGCGTGGCACCAAGCGACCTTCCAGCTCGCGGTCACATGGATCAAATCGCAAAAGTAACGTCATTGAAGATGATCTCATTTTAAAGGTAGGGGTGAAAGGAAGAAACAAAGGTGAGTTCACCAATCCACAAGGACTGACCTCAGTCAACGGAAAGATTTTGGTGGCGGACAGTAACAATCAAGTTGTCCAAGTGTTCACTTCGCTTGGGGATTGCAAGCTTCGATTTGGAGCTCCAGGACGTGGTCCAGGAAAAATGCAAAGGCCAACAGGTCTTGCTGTTACCATGAATGGTAATTACCTGGTGGCAGACTATGACAATAAATGGGTCAGTGTTTTCTCCCCTGATGGCAAGTACATCAACAAGATAGGGAGCAATAAACTTTTGGGACCAAAAGGTGTAGCTGTAGACAAGAACGGACATATCATTGTAGTGGATAATAAAGCTAGTTGCATATTTATTTTCCAGTCGAACGGCAAGCTCATTCAGAAATTTGGCTCCCGGGGTAATGATGACAACCAGTTTGCTGGGCCACACTATGTGGCTATCAATACCAACAATGACATTATTGTTTCAGACTTTCACAATCACTGTGTCAAAGTTTTCAATTCTGAAGGCAATTTTCTGTATAGTTTTGGGTCCAATGGAGAAGGTAATGGACAGTTCAATGCTCCTACTGGTGTAGCTGTGGACAACCATGGTAACATTCTGGTGGCTGACTGGGGTAACTCCAGAATTCAGGTAAGGTTCCTTAATGTGACATAAGACATAATTAAGAATTTTTTTTAATTGCTTATCAAATTTTGTTATTTATAATGAGATTTTTCATTTTAAGAAACATTTTTCTTAATGTTTTTTTTTTTTCATTAATATACCATCCATGTGTGTATTGATGGAAACGTTTTTTCCTCAGTTTAATGTTTTTTGGGAGTTCATTTTTTTTCTATGTGCCATGTCCCTTCAGAACGTGGGCAATCATAGTTCCTCACAACTTCTTCTTTGTAGTTCTTAGCAATGTCGTCTTTTTGCTACTTCTCCTAATCCCTGTTCTACCAATCATTTACACAAGCTTGTTAGATAGGTTAATTACGGCTTTTCTCTGTTCCTCTTGCCTTCAATATGTCCTGTGAGTGTCAAATTCTCCAAGCCCCCTTTCCTTATTATCCCTCTATAAGTTAGTGTTAGAAGTATGAGACAAGGCTATGTCTTTTCCCCAGACAGCAACACTACCCTAAGGGATTTCCCAGTGTTTATTATTGGTGGGTGTAGTCTTAATAATATAGGATATTCAGATCACACTATGTTGATGGCTGAACAAACTACAGGGCCTCCTATCCAGGGTAGTAAAAGAAAGCAAGGAAAAAAGGACTGACCATCAACTGTAAGAAGACAGAGAGTATGGCCCTTAACAAAAGGAAATGCCCAAGATGTGAGTTGCAAATTAGAGATGTCAACAGCAGGTAGGTGCTAAAGTTTAAATATCTGGGAAGTGTTTTTTAACAGAATTTGAAAAATGTGACATTGAAATCTGAACACACATTGGATTAGTGAAAGAAGCATTCCAAAAGATCTGAGAAAAGATCTGAGAAATGGAATAGTTTTGTTAGAAACAAAGAAAACAGTGTTGGGTTTCTGTGTGTTATCCATCCTCTTATGGCAGTGAATGCTGGACAATCTCTCTACAGATGAAGAGAAAACTAGAATTAGCAGAAATATGCTTCTACAAAATGATATTGAAAATTCTACAGAGCAAGTAAACAAACATGGTAAGAGAAAATGACTACAGAAAGAACACTTCTACTCAGAATCAGGAAAAGACAGCTGAAATTCCTTGGATACATAAAGAGGAAGAAGTGCATCAAAAACTTGACCCTCACAGGACAGGCAAGTGAGATAGGTAAGTGGCTTGCTGTCTTATCCAGATTAGCTTGTGCAAATGACTGACAGAATTTGAGGGTCCTTAGCAAAAGGGAGAACTACTAAGGTCCACAAGGCGAGCTATGATTGCCTATCTTTTTTAAGGAATGTGGTGCATAAATGGAAATAGATTCTTCTAATGCCATGGAAATGCAAAAGGGAAATTTGAGAATGAGCTAAGTGGATTGGACCTCACAAGAACCATGTCAAATGATTCTGACAAAAAAGGTCACTGAGTGAAGACAGACCCTGATGACTTGATGAATGACATTTTTAGATGAAAGATGACAAGATAAAGAATGTTTGACCTCTATGAAACAGTTGTCACTAACAGCCAGGTCCCTGAGGATCACTTGTCATGACATGAAAAGGAAGATGCACACCCACACACTGATTAGACCACTTGTCCCCTCACCTCCTTGTCTACAACAGAAGGTTACAACCAAATAAAATTTGCTTACTGCTTCAATCATCACATGGTTTTATTTTGTGGGTAACAATCTGGCCAAAGAATTATTGTTAAGCCACAAACATTTGACTTAAAGAAGCTGCACCCTGATATTGAACCTGGTGTCTAGTCTGAGCTGCAACACTACAGATAGAAGGCTTAATTGAGGCAAGCTTGAGTGTCATTGGTGAATCTCCTTTGCTAAAGTATCTTGACAGCAATTGCTTTACCAATAATAGAAAACAACATTCCTGTTTTCCCTCCTGAGGCCAGCGTACCAATGATTAGGGGTGGGGGGGTCCATGCTGATGATGAGTACTCAGAGTTGGGATAAGAATGATCTTGAACAAAAAAAAAAAAAAAAAAAAATCGACATTCTCTACAGAGTGTTCAGAACTCGATAAACCTTTCAAAAATAGATGATCTGGATTTAGAATGAAAGCAATGATGTCACATACCCAGAATCCATCATAAAAATTCAGGATATAGAATTAATAAATACTAAACATTTTAAATACCTTGGTGTATAGATCAGTTATAATAAATTGAGTGGAGGAGCTAAGGAAATTGAACATAGAATAGGCTTCTGGATAGTTTTGCCTAACCATCAAGATACTACAAGACCAAAGCATTAAACTCCAAAATCGAGTCATGTTCTTCAATAGCCTCATCAAATCTAGACTCCCATATTAATGTCATACATGGTATCCAACTCATTCAAAAATGTCTAAATTGTTAACTGTATACAACCGTTTTCTCAGTTCAATGATTAAAAATGGCTTTGAGCTAATGAATCCTGAATGTCTTGAAGAAAAACGTTCATTAGATCTTATAGACTGGCACTATAGAGGCACAAAGAATTGTATTGAATAACAGAAACCACACCATTTGAAGACTTTCAACAGTAACAACAACTAAATTGGATGGTACATGTAACTTGAAGAGAAAATAATGACATAATCAAGATGTTGATGGTCCACACTACTTTAAACAAAAGATTAGGAAGGAAACCCCTAACAATACTTGAAAGGCAATAACAGTGGACTTGAGAAAACTTATTTTCCTGATAAATGCTGTTTGTTTATTAAATGGCAATTGTTTCTGTATAAGGAAATGGTTAATCTCACCAATACAATTAAAGATAAATTTGGATAAAGGATAGCACTTCTATTTTTTGAACAATGAACAAATTGATTCCTTGTATTTAGACTTTACTCTCTGATGTGTGCACAGGAAATCTTATTTAAGATTCTCTGGGTGATATCTTTTCTAGATGGCTGATATTTTAGTTTTAGTTGCTGCACAATTTTTTAGTGAATAATCCAAGAGAACACTTAATTGTTTTCCCTTTAGAGTCACATGGATTACAGAATGAATACCTGGGGTACAATCATGTGTTTAGTACGTGGGAGCTGATTGTTGCGACCATTAAACTTGATGAGGCCCTGGATTTTTGCACACAAACATAATGTCTCTTCTTTGCATATTTATGGCAACTAGTCTCACCAGAAGAAGCTACAAAAGAAGCATTAATGTTTCATATTATGTCACAGATGTTTCCCTAAGAGCAACTGCAGGATTGTCATTTTCATCTATCAGTGGCACCTGTAGTGATTGTGGCCTCATTACTGCATCTTAAGAGTTGCATATAAATCATCATTGCATTGAGCAAAGTCTAATGCAGGTGACTACGACTATAAGCAGTCTGAAGGTTCCAAATTTTGGCTTTCTTCTATGAAGTGCAGGTGAAATTATTTGTTTTCTGTTTTCCTCTTCTCTCCTCCTTCTTAGGATTGAGAATACAGTCTTTCAAACAATTCAGTTGTTTATGTACCATCTAGAATTTATTTCTTTTCTCAGATGAAGTAATTTACTAATTTTTTTTTTATTAGTTCTCTTTGTTGCATTTTTTTTCTTTTTAGTCAAAACTTTCTCTTCAATTGAATTCAGTTTTCAACAGCAGCTGCAATTTTCTTTTCATTTCAACTGAATCAATTCATCCCAAACAGGTTGATGATGCCACTAATATGCAAGGGGTTACTGGGAGTGAAAGAGAACGAGAAGACTTTAAAGGGAACTAGAAACCCAAATCCAAACAGGAAACAAGGGATTAAACCTCTATTCCTGTTCAAAAGCCTAAGGAGGAGTGTGAACTGAACTTTAATAATTGAAAGATGTTTGACCAAAAAGCTATGATTTTAAAAAAGAATGCAACAGGAATACAGAATACAGGAAAAATTAACTCTTCAAAAAAATTAATGTTTAATTTCAAAATAATTTATTATTATTATTGGGTATAACAATTTGGATTAGAGAGGCAGAACTTGTGTCCCAATATCGGACACAAGTTAAAGAGTTTTCTTTGTTTAGACATTTAAACTATTAATTTTAAATGTCAAAAAGTATTTAGCTTAAAAATTTGCCATTTGGAATCAATAAAATGTAGAAAGGATTAAGTAAAAGAAAAAAAATAGTAATATATAATCCAGTTGGTTTTTATATTTTCTTTTGATTTGTATCTTCTATTTGTGTGAGGAATGTCTTTATAACTCCCTCACTCTCATTCAAATCCTTTAGGAGTATACACTGAGGAGTATAAGGTGTGGTTCTATACTCCTTAGTGGAATCTAAATGCTAGCCATTACTTCTGCAGTTTCCATAGTAAGTAGGTTTTTACGGGATAGAATTGCTAGTCCTATGTCCAACTGGTTTTCAATTCAGATTTGTACTCCTAGACTGGTTTCCAGTCAAGGCTACCCTACTATTTAACCCATAGTTGGGGGAAAGAAGTGATGGATTCATGCTTTTATTTAGGATATTTGCATGAAAGTAAAATGTAACAAACTGGACCAGCATTTGAACTTGGCTCAACAATTTCTCATTCCGAACCGTTAACCATTTACACCACCTGCACATTCAAGTCATTATAAGAAGTAATTCGTTAGCTTCTTGATGATACTTTCTGTTATCCAAATTAATCACATTTTATTCATAATTTTTTTTAAAGTACAAGGATTGCATATATAGGTTTTCTGTCTTTACAAACAATGGTAATCTGTTATTTAGAATATGTGTGTGTGTGTGTGTGTGTGTGTGTGTGTAGTGTAACAGTTATTGACATGGAAAATAGAATTGGCAAGTTAAGTTCAAATTCCAGCTTAGTCTGTTGCATTTGCTTCTACTCAAATGTACTTGGAAAGGGAAGGAGTCTATCTCTTCTCATCTCACCTATGGGATAAATGATAAGGCAGACTGGACTTTCATGACTTGGATGGTAAACAGTCATGGAGAAGCACTACTCCAAATTCAAAACTGGAGTATACAAAAAGACATCACTCCACTATCTTTCCCAAGAAGTCCTGGCAATTCACAGATA